GGAAAGAAGTGGGGACAACGCGTTTTTCTCCAGCTTACAAGATCTAGGGTTTGAAGCGCTGACTGGGTTTTGTGTTGGGCAATGTGCCAATTGACCAAGGACCGACTAGAAGTAAGGTTAATAATTTGGTTTGGGCCATGTTCTGTGATACTGTGGATGGACGAAATCCTGCACCACCTACGAAACTCTGGAATAATCATTCCCACCCAGAACCCAACCAACAATGGTTTGTCATGGTTTCAAAGTGGTTCAGGATTTGATCCATCCAAAGTACCAAAAGAATTGCCCTTTGACATTGACCAAGACATACGTAGTTGGATGGGAACCAATGTTGCTGTCACAGGTTTCAGGGCAACAATGTCCTGGTAACTCGCAATCCCAGAGTCGAGCGAAACCGGCCGGATAGAAAGAAATCGGAAGGTTGCCAGGGAACGGGGAGTAAGCCGAGACTTGAAACTTGCTATTGCCGGTGCGAAGGATCGTGGCCCTTACATGGAGCGTGGCACGATCTCGTTGGCCCTCTTGGGACACGTTTCAGCCTCGTCATGTATGGCCTTGTCATGTATGATTCTCTGAATGAGGGAGCCCACAAATTGGGGGTTCTGGATTCTCAGGGGACATGAACCAAAAAGGTTACCCTTAAAAAACACGAACACAAGGAAACAACAACCAAGCAGGTTACCCTGAGAAAAGCACAAGGCAAACTCAAGCAAGGAGCACCGGCCAAAAAGGTAAAAAACAAGAAAAAAGAAACACCCACCAGGTGTTTGTAAAGAACAACGAAGCACAGCAACTATCACCAAGTGAAAAGGTAAAAGGTCTTTGTCTGACTGACGCTCCAATGATGTAAGAGATTTCCAGGGGCCGAACTTCCTGCACAGCGACTGGACAGCGCGGGCCGTGGGAAAGCGTGTGGCAGGCGCGGCTGGGGAAATCCACGGATTTTTCGTTGCAGGGGTTCCAAGGCATCACACCGCAGGGTTGCCCATCTGGGGGAGTCGTTTCTTTCGGGAAGCCGAGAAAAGCCGGGGTTTCCGAGCCATGTCCCGAACCTCCAAGAGTGGGTCCCGAGATCGTTCGGGAAACCAATGAACTGATCAACTTGTTCGGGGAAATGCAGTGACCCCTATCCCACTTCCAAGAACTATAGGTCACCCTCCAGTATGTTTACCGCGAGGTCTTACGTGACGCTTTTTGCTCTCCGGTAACCTATAGCTGGAAGCGCTGGGTTTGTTTTCAGATCAACCACGACCCTCCCCAAACAAAAACACCAAGTGTTTAGAGAACTGCTTGGGAATGGGATCACCTTTTGGGAAGCGGAGTTTCCATCTCAACTTGCAGAGTAAGGCTTTCAGCAGGCAGACTTGGATCCGGTACCTGCTCAAAATGGGACCGCTCGCCTCGGGCAATTTCCTCCCAAAGTGTTGCGGGCCCGTCAAAGTGACGAGGCCCTTGTTTTCGAACGTGGGTGCGTGGGTGGGTGGGTGGGCGGATGTGTGTGTGTGTGTGTGTGTGTTTTGGGGGGGGGGGGGAGAGTCTTTTTTGGGGCGGGGAGTAAAAACTTAAGGACCCCCCCCGCTTTCTGAGGGTTTTTGCCAGGCGGACAGGCCCCCAGCGTGCAGGAGGCGCTCGGGTTTGTCACGCGAACGAATGCGCGAGGTTGTGGTGCTTCGTAGCTTGGATGCCCCGTGGATCTGGGCAAACTACAACCTCAAGCGAGTTTGCGACCTTGAAGGTTCCTTTCAAGCCTTCGTGCAGGTTAGATGTTTACAGCGCTCATTTTGTTCCGAGCGACATGAGAGAAGGGCTGGAATATCTTTCCGGCTTGGCTCGCAGCTGAAGGGCTTTTAGCTCCCTGCAAAGTGCAAGGCTCTGACGTGGCTGCTGGATGCATTTTCTGGATGCCCCACCAGGAAAGTGGGCCTGATTACCAAATGGGTATAGCTCAAAATAAAAGAGCTAGGGTTAGGTAGGTTTTAGGCTTTGGTTCCATGTACCAAGGTGCCATTTTGGTACCGCTTTTTTGAGCCACAGCCAAATGGCAAGACAAAATGGGAGATGGAAATGGGTGCTGGCGAACACACTTGAGCAAGCTCTGCACTCAAAGGGCGATTTCTTCACACCAAAGTTGCTTCGGAAGCCTCTACTGCGGGACGTGTACCCTGTGCCCGCCAGATGCAAATGACACGTTCAAAACACTCTTTTGGGATTTGTAGGGATGATCCTGAGCCCCTCCAGGAAATTAGACCATGTGGGAGTTTCTCAACATGGTGAACCCCCTTTTGGTTGATATTTTTGGAAGGGCTGGACCCGATTGTTTGAGAAACACCCACGTGAGTTTTGACCATGGCACGTATGAAGATTGCCTTCGAATGACGGGGTCTTCGTTTCTTAGAGCTGCTCAAAATCGACATAGCAAAGACGGGGGGCCCTAAGATACCCAGGTGTGAGGATGGTCGCGAAATCTGTTCGCATCAAATGAAACCATGGTTGAAACAATTGTTTGTTGGTATTTGCAGTAGAATCATCATTCCAGGGTTTCTGAACGGCAGGAGTTCGTCCATCCAGAGTATTTGTGGTTTTGGGAGGGTTCGGCATGTTGATTCTTTGGGCTAGCTATCATACAGGATGTTGGACGTTGTTCGACCTGTCAGTGTGTTTCCTTTGAAACTCCAGCACCATGGGTGTTTCTTCATGCGCTTCCTGCCAGCGGGCACGCTGGGGCTTGTCAAACATATGGCCCAGGGTTCTGGTCTCTGGTGCCGCTTGTTCAAGGAAGCTATGTCTAAGGGACCGCTTTATACCCTCCTCACCTGGCCTCATTTAGCTTCCAGGAGGTTTCTGGCGAGACTCTCGTTTAGGTTCCTCGACCCTCGGAGTTGCTTGAAGGTTCCTTGAAGTTCGAAGGTTCCTGTGAAGCGACAAATTCAAGCAAGCCTTGCCTCTCATATTTCATTTGTTAGATTGTTTTAGAGTTGTTTAGGCAGTGTTTAGTTTATGATGTTGTTTTAGTTTCGTTTGTTTGAAGGTTTGTCTAGATTCACAATGGTTTCTAGCAGTGTTTCTTAGAGGCTAAGAGTTGGAATGCCTAAGGTGACTGTCCCTGCCCGAATGACTGGGGTGTTTTGCCTTTGATCACTTTGGCAGGGTGGTTTTGGTCTCCAAGTTGCATCTCGAAAAAAACGTTCTAGTTCGCTTTTTGCAGTGCCTTGGCACCTGCACCTTGACAAGTCTAACATGTCCACAAGGAGGCATCCAGCAAAGAGGGCATCAAAGAAGGTCCTATGACTTTGGCGTGCAACCCTCCAGCATGGCTCTGAAGTACGTGGGAAAAAAAGCGTCGCACATGTTGGTCGAGGTTTGACCAGTTTTTGTGTTCAACTGGCAGCTGGGGCTTTGGCCAATCCTTCGCTGAGTCTAGTTTGCGGCGAGCTTTCTGAACTGAGGATGAAATGAATTCAATAGGCGTCGCCACATGAAGGTTCCATTTTCTTTGTTCGGATTAGGGTTAGGCTAAGTGACAGGGCCCTAAACACCACAGCCTACGATTGGCTCATATTCTCCAAAAGGGAACAACCAAAATCCTGCTGAACACAGCCTATGATTTTCGGTATCTCCAGCAGTGCCTTGATTCCTTCTAGGTCAATCCCCAAAACTAGGCCTTTTTCTCCCTGGAGGTCTGGGTTCAATTCCGGTCTGTCCATTTGTCAACTATGAGCCAGCTTTTTGTCGGCGCGGTTAAAGGGAAGCCACAAGTGAAACAGTTAAATCATCAGTTTGAGAAAAGCACTCAAACATGATGAGCAGCTGAAATAAGACAGTTAAGCAATCATCCGCGAGAAACACCGAGAAAAAAGCACTAGAAACTTGGTGGTGTCCATTGAACCCACTAAAAGTTATTCACTTTAGCAGGGGATCCGAAAACGGACAGCCCAGAAAAAAAATGAGCGCCTTGAAAAAGAGTATGTTCTTCGGGAACACGAAGCCTGTCGAGTGAAGCTCCGCATCGGCCTCTTCGCGCCTTCGCCTTCGCCAAGTGCAGGCAGGGCACCTGCTGAAACGCCGCGCGGAGTTGCCGGACTGCAACACGGGGTTTCGGAGCCCAGATCCCGACAGAGCCTGACGGCTGCGGCTTTCCATTCTGAGTTTACCGAGAAAAACAAAAAGGAGAAACAAAAAGCAGCCGAGATTGGGTTGCGAGATTGTGAACTCTTTATTTTTGGAGTTTTTTTTTGAATTACCTTTAATGTAACACCAACCGAGCTTGATCACATGCTCGGGCTCCGAGCTTGATGCTTTGCGCCAGGATCCTCACGAGTGTTTGGCACTGGTTTTTTGGCTGGATTCCTTTTGCTATTCCACCATGTTGGGCAAACAGGCTTGTGTTTGCGCAGTGGCTAAGTTGCTTTACGCTTGCGCATCTGTCCTCATAAAAGGGTAAATGCACCATGTTTACGAGTCCCGCGCCTGCCATTCCAGGGCTGCAACAATTGCACTTTCGCGGGCACGGTTAACGGTCCGCCGGCGTAAAAATGGAACCCGGTTGGGATAGCTTCCTGTAGCCGGTTGCGGGTTCTTCATGATTTGGACGTGGATTTCAGTCCCCGTCGAGCTTCCCCGGAACTCGCCAACCCCTCGACCAAATGGGCGGCTCGGGATGGCTTCGGTTTCCTTTTGGTTTCCCTTTCAGAGCTCCCAAGACCCAAGAACGGGGCACCCTCCAAAAAGACTCAGACACAAATCAGCGGTACAGAGGCAAGTTTGCAGAACGAGGCTGGACTCTGTCCAAGTTTGATCCCTACCCCTCAGCTGGGTGCCTTGTCATTAATGGCCTGCGGCCTGGTTCCGCCGCCCCCATAGTCCCCATGCCAAAAGCATGGTCGGGTCGGCGGATTTCAGTCGTTAAGAATTGGGAACCCAGCAGGCATACGGATTGTGTTTGTTCTCCTTGCGAACGACAGGGCCTGTTTGCCGAAGCACGGATCTTGATCGGGGAGAACATGGAGCGCCCCCAAGCTCACTCCCCCAAGAGGTAGAACATCGCAACAATTAGTTTATCCAGCCGTTTGAGCAAATGTTGGGTAAGCCGCCCAAGTTTCAAACAAATCAAAAGGATGGGTTTGATTTTTTCTAGACAGCTTTGACATCCGGAAACCCAAAGACCCAGGGTTTTTGGTCATCCTGTTTCCGAGGATCATCCTGGACGGCCTGGAGAGTGCTCATTTGACGCCCCAGGAGGCAATCCTTGATTGTGCAAATGCTCCCCCTAAGATCATTGGAGTGATAGGCACTTTCGGAGCTCGTTGGCTGCTAATCGACCCAATCGACTCAGTCAAGTTGGTTGGATTTCTCATGCAGTCACCTTCCAATAGTCATGGAAGCTGACAGGAGACTTTTGGAGTCTATTTTCCTTTTGGGGAACCCCCTTGTCCAGTTCCATGATTGTTGGAAAGATGGTAGTTTGCGCACATGGGAGGGGGGAACTCAACACCATGAATCACTGTTTGCAGCAGCTACATCAGAAGAAGCATCGTTCCCGCGCAGTCATGGTTATTGCGTGCGTGGATGCGACGTGATAGCAAGACACGTTCCAGCGCAGTCATGGTTATTGCGTGATGAATGGTGGCAACATTATAAAAAACACATGTTCCGGGCAGTCATGGTTGTTGCATGCATGATGGCAACATAATGATATCTGATAGCAAGTTCCTGCGCTCATGGTTGTTGCTTGCATGAGATAGCAGCAGCACGTTCCAGCGCAGTGAAGGCTTGTTGTGTGCATGGTGGCAATATGATAAGAACACGTGTTCCAGCGATTTTTGTGTTGCGTGCATGGTGGCAACATGGCAACAACACATGTTGCAGCGCAAGTCATAGTTGTTGCGACCTGGTGGCAACTTGATTCGAACACACGTTTCAGCACAGTCATGGTTGCTGCGTCCATGATGGTAGCAACATGATTCGAACACACATTCCAGTGCAGTCATGGTTGTTGCGTGCATGGTGGTAGCATGAGAAAATCACGCATTCCAATCATTCCAAGGTGCCTATGATGAATGTTGACACGTGCTTATGCTGCAGTTGGATTTTTTTTCAAAAGTAGACGCAATCTTCCAATTTGAATTCATCTCAGGTGGTGCCCTTTCTTTCCCTGGTGTACGGAAACCGATTCTCCCTTTCGTGACAAAATCCACGGGATTTTCTGGTTGGTTTGCTTGCAAGGCTTGGGCACGGGATTGAGCAAAAGGTATGTTCCCATACTTCTCTGGAATTAATCACTCAAAATGACCTGGAATTGAGTCCACTGACTTTTTCCCAGTCTTCTCTAGAATATCTTAGATTCTAGAGTATCTTAAATGGATCGCTTATTCTGCGTGTGTTCTTCTTTGACAAACAAATAACATAGTTGTTAAACAAAAATAAATATATATTGGTGTTGTTTTTTGAATACAAAACATCAACATTTCAGCCAATGGTTCATTGCACCCCCGCAAGACCAAAGCTCATCTCCCACGTCTGCGGGCGCTTGGAGGTGTTGGAGGCGAGCATCGAGGCATTTCGGGCTGAGAAGCTGGTGCTGCTTGTGGCCGGGCGCCGAAGTCGCGTCGGTTTTCCAGTCGGCGCTTTTTGTTGTTTTTGTTCTTCTAGTTTTGCTTTCTTTGTTTCGCTTTGTTGAGGAGGGTCCGATTTTTTTTGGGTGTTCCTTTGAGGGTGTCTTGTGTTTTTGTCCTTGTGGACTCTTGTTAAACCCACCCAAGCACGGGTGCCCTCAAGCAAAGACCCAGCCGAACGGCAAGTAAACCAAGCAAAACCATTCTCTTCACCCATCGTTCTCTTTGGACACCAGAAGTTTTCCCGGGGGATTGGCCCATTTGAAGAGAAGGACACCTGAAAGAATGGGGCAGGTATGGCTAGAGATGCATTTTTGCTGGGGGTGTGTTGAAAAGGGAGGCCACTTGTTCAGGTTACATGGTTCTTGCGTTTGGAAGGTTGGCATTTGCCTGGGAGACAAACCTGTGTGGAGGTTGGTCTTGAAAATTCCTGATTTGTCTGGTTCATTTGGGGTGCGTTACATGGGATCTCACGAATTTCCCAGTGTATTCCAAGGTCGTGGACCTTTTGTTCGCAGCGGGACCATGCCCGGCCACATGAGCAGTTTTGACTTCATGCGCTATAGTCCATTGGCCAAATCTGGGCCTCAATTATTTTCCCGTGTCCTTGAGGGGGGACAAGCAATCTTGACCATGGCTCATGTGGAGTTTAAGGGGAGAACGATAGATGTGCATGGTCAACGACTGCTTGGTTGGGGTGTATGGATGGTCATCAGCCTTTACGGGCTTTAGACAACCAATGTAAGGGTTTCTGAGGGCATCATGTCACGACACATATGCGTACATGGAACCCTCTATCAAACTCCCATCCCGTTTCCTTGTCAAAGCATGGTAACCTGCTGATGAAATCATTGGAGGGTTTCCCATTGAAAACACCTGTTAGAATGGGAATAGGTGCCTAAGAAAAGGATTTTTCATTCAAATGATGTCGACCTTCAGACCCACAAAGGCTTCTGAATGGACGGCAAACTGGGCGCCTCGTTATCTCCAGGGCCCCCAATGGACGGAAAACTCACCCCCAGTCCAGTGCCCGAAAGCACCGGTCCCAACATCACGATTGGTTTCAATGGCCTGACTTTGGACTACTCTTAAACAGGTGTGTCTTCAAATAAGGGTACCCGAAAACTCATGAGTTTCCTTGTGGTTTCCCTTTAAAACCACTCCAAAAGGGGTGCCCTCACAAGAAGCCACACACACACACTAAAGAGACTCCCACATCAGAGACTAAGCAGATTGCAACTGCACGGAGCCGCTGTACATCATCTTGGCCTATAAGTGAGTTTCCTTTTGGGGTGACGTTGGGGAACATATCGCGGGACCCCCTCAGGCCTAGGTTAAGACCGGGTTTGAGCATGGAACCAAGCGCAAACGAAGCGGAACGGGGCTGGGTAACACGCGACTGGGTGTCGACACCAGGGACTCTCCCGAATTCATTTTGTTGGAGTGCCCAAAAAGGGGAACATGACCCGAAGGAAAGTGTAGAGTAGAAGCTGTCCTGGGTACGTTATTTTAAAATGAATTTAGCTATGTAGCTAGTTATTCCACTTATATGCAGGGCAAACACAACCTTACAAGCTTAAGTAGTACAAAGCCATAGCCCGTGTCTCCAAAAATCGCCGCCTCAACCTGGCGTTGATAAACTGTGTCAACCTGGACTTGACCCCTTTTTTTCCTTCGGCGGCTTTCTCCAAACAGAAGGCCAGCGCAAGGTTTCTGACTCCTCTCCCCAGGTCGACCTGCCAGAGCCAGAGCCGCAACCTCGAGGTAAGGCAATAATTCATTGGTCCCTTGTGGAGTTGCTGGTGCGAAATCGGCAGAAAAGAAGAACTGGCATGACCCTTACCTAGAGTCTCCATGACCCTTCAAAAATGGGGTCATGACCCCTTTTATTTTGGTTAATGCCCCCATTTTTTGAGGGTCATGGAGACTCCAGGTATAAACCATCCAACTGTTGTGGTGTCCTTTCAAGGAATACCCAGGTTCATTCCCTCGTTACATACTGAGCACCAGCCAGTGGAGAAACTTGGTGGATTGGTACAGTAGGAAACCAGGGGAACTCTTTATCTGGGAAACGTGCTGGATGCGCTTTTTGTGGATTTAATCCTTGTTTCCTCGTGTAGGTTCTTTTTTGGGACTCTTTCAGTACTCTTTAATATCCTACAGTTCCACGAAAACCACCTCCAAACTGTTTTGTAGACTTGGAGGGCCAAAAGGAAACCGGTTGGTTGCATGCTATACTGGAAGCCGAGATCCATTGGGAGGTGGATGACACCACGGACATAGATGGCACCGCTCTGCCATTTGTTGTGGGTAAAAAGAGACCGATAGATCCTTCTCATGAAAGTCCCTTATTTCAGGTTTTGAAATCATTGTAGAATTTGCACAGTGTTCCCTTTGTGAGTAAAGAGGATGATAAGACCCAAATAGCGGTTGTGCCGTCTAGGCAAAAAGGGTTCCCTCGACAATGGGGTACCACTTCAAAGGGGTGATGTTTCAGTTTGGGTTTTCCAAGCCTGCCAAGCCCCGCGACTTTGATCCCAATTTGGGGTCCCCATTCTTTCCAGGGATCCGAATTTCTTTTCAGGAAACCATCAAAACTTCAGGGGAAACAGCGATCGGTTTTTGAAAAGAACGATGGAAAGGAATGGAACAGGAATCCAACCCTAGAACTTTGATGGGCTCATTGAATTGAACCCATCAAACTGTCGGTTTCATTCTACGAGTTGACCTCCACAGGGCTTGGGAGAAGTGTATTGCAGAGCTGACGCACGACTTTGTGGAGAGCATTCTCGACATGCACAGCCCGTTTCTGCGGAAGCTGATGCTTCACGACATGTCCTTGTGGCACGGTTTTTGGGCCACTCGGACTTGAGCATCGTCACATTTGGCCGGCGCAAGCGCCACACGCAGCATATGTGCTGCGAGTTGAGGCGGTGGCTTCGCCAAAAACACCACGCCGATTTGGACGCAATGGCAAAGCTACGCGCTAAGTTCCATTTTTTTTGACATCCTTGCCCCCCCCCCAAAGAAAATGAAATACTCAAACATAGAAGAAGAACCAAAATCATGTATGGAGGGGGTGGAGCGTACCCCCAATCAAGGCCCCTTCTTCATACATTTCGCCTTTGTGGGCAGCGGGGAAATCATGCAAGGGACAAGGGACACCATTTTGAACCACTTAAGGGGGGGGTCCAACCACAAAGCTGTGGAAGCGACGGCAGTGCAATAGGTGTCTATGGAACATGTCCGATCTTGGGACTGTTTGATTCCGCTCCCAAAAGAGATGAAAGAACACATTGCTGGGCCTGATGAAGGGTTTGGTGCTCTTCAATAGGGTTGCTTCATAAGAAAAGCCCAACTCCCATCATTTCTCCCAGTGCCTCCAGTTGCCATAGTAGGCAAAGGGGAAACCATGGTAAGACCAGCCAAGAAACCCAACGGTTCCCAGTTGCTTGCTTGCCAGCGCTGCATCCATTCGACGCGCCAAGGCCTGCTGCTGAGACGGAGAAAGAAGAGCCGCAAGAGGAGGCGGGGGTCTGAGGTCTGCCTCTAAATGATGAGGCCCCCCTCAAAAAAGAATGGGTGGGGGCGGTCCTTGTTGCCCGGTTAAAACCATCCAAAAGTGTGCCCTCATAAGGCACATCCAAATAGGTACGAAATTTTTACCTTGGGTATGGGCTACACGACGTGGAACTCAGTTTTGTCTGAAGGAGTGTGATCTACAGGGCACTTGCGTGAGGGGTCGATCGGTCCTTTCCGGCCGGCTTTCCTTCACAGATGCACAAGAGGCAGCCTCAGCTTTGGGATGCCCCTTGCGAGTGGAGCCTTGGTCCGAGACTTCTACGCGGACTACAGGCTAGGTTTTGAAACGAGCTAGGCATGGTAAATATGTTCTTGCTTGGGGATGAAGTCTATGATTTGCCTCGGGTGATCGAGTTTGAGCTGGCACAATCTCCCAATGCATGCCATACCAAATGTAAGCAGCCCATTACAGCTCGGTTGACATCTTGTTGATGGACGGGTTGGTATGCAGAAAGGGAAGCCCGCTTGGCTGCGCAACTGGCTCAACATCTTGTATTTGTTCAAACAGTACTGCTGCCCAGAGGACATCCTTTCGAGGCTGTTTTCTCAGGTTAATAATCGTATCACCTCACTACCACGAGAGACCGATACGGGACCACGGAAACCAATACCCTCCAAGCTGCAAAATGGTTCAGCAGCAATATACAATATTGCTCAGATGGGAATATCAACTTGGAACTCGAATGCTGTTTGCTTGGAGATTGGTCTCGGCTTATACGGCATTCCGAACGTTTTAGAGTGTATCCCAAGTTGATTCATGACCTTTCATGAAACGGGTAGTCTTGCGGTCAATTTGGGAGGAACATGGAGGACTCGCAAAAGTTGCTCACCTCTGATTGGCCCGACTAAGAGGAATCTTCAACAGCTATGCTGAGAGGCGTTTTGGATTTCGGCACCACTAGCTTCTATCGCCGATTTCCCGGCAGATGGGACAAGACTGTGGCCTTTCCATAGCCCATCAAGATCCGCGCCCCGAACAACCAATCCCAACCATCCGGGGTTAAACTAATCTCACCCGCCAATTTGGTGATACCCAAATCGCTTTTCCCCGCCTGACCTCCACTTCGCCTTCTGCTTGAAAAGCCCAAAACACGGGTTAGGGTCGAAGGAACAAGCCCGTGGTTCTGACACGAGCTGATCGCTCGGCTGAAGTCCGGTCGAATCCATCGCTCAGACCCCGCTGCCGCGGCCCACTGCACAGGGTGAGGCGGGGAAACAGGGCGATGTTGAAGGGCCAAGCCCACTCCGCCAATCAGCCGGATGGTTCTTCCTTTGTATGTCACTCAGGTCCCCCAGTAGTGCCCTTTTACCCTTTTTTGGGAGAGGGTTCCCCTACTAAAATAGGCTACAGAAAAAAAAAATATACCCTTATTCTAACCTCTCCACTGGAAGACCTAGTCACAACCGCCAAATAGAGTATAACGGACTGTCCTAGCCAGGCATTTCAGCGTGGCCGCCCTGGTGACACAATTTGATTCTTTATGTAAGTTTTGGTATGCACCAAGTTGAAATAACCAGCTACTTGTTCTTCACTTGCCTTTGTGCATGGGATCTATGACCGTTTTCATTGGCGCCAGCCAGCGAAAGTGAATCCTTGGAGCTTTTTGCGTGCAGGTTTGGTCCATTTTTCGTCACAAAGAAGGCATTGCTGTCCTATGCAGGGATTGTGGATGGAGCTAGTAGGGATACCCAAGGTCTGGCTCTAAAAGAGTAAAATGTGGCGCACCACGGCACTGTGGTGCTTATTGAGCGACTGCTAATGGCAACTCAAATGCGAAAATGGGTACAGCCAGGCCCTCACACACACACACACACACACACTCCTTTGAGGATGCAAATTGACGGCCTGCGAGGGCAAGTTTCAAGCTCAAAGGCAAATGCCGATCAACAGGGAGCATTGACCAAGCTCAATGCAGCGAGGGTAGAAGCACTCTGTAGATTGTTCACAGATGCAGTGCGGTAGTCTGAATAACCGTTTTTGGCTCAGAACAAATTGCAAATTCAGATGTCACTGCTGCACAGATGGGCTCAACTTTGTCGCAATTGATACGCGATACGCGTCAATCCCATGAGCAGGCTCAGGCGTGTGTGTATCATCAGTGTACCCTTTTTAGCTTGGTTAGCCAACGAGTGAAAGGAAACCAAAAAGAAAGGCCACCATTTTGCGGGTCTGTTTTGACACATACCCAGTACAACCTCGGCATCAGCTGCAATGAACACATCAGTCCGTTTTCAAAAGAGCGGACTGGCCTCATAGGCGGCGAAAGGCAGACAGGTCCAAACTCTACCATTTGGACAACGGTCCGCGGAACAAAACGAGCGAAACCACATGGAAATGATCCTTTGCTGCGGGGGGCGGGGGGGCTTGAGGATTGCCAGGATTGCAGTATGGTAGTTTGCCCAGAACCATGCAGCGTAAATGACGGTGATTGTTTCGAACGTCGGTGCGAGAAATCGGAGAGGTCAGGTTTGCTTTGTGCTTGAAAGCTTGATGTTCATCAATGTAGAGAGGAAGTCACCCCTTTTGTCATTTTTGTCACAGGACTTCCTGTATAAGTTCCTGCTGGTTTCTTAGACACCTTGGGATAAGCCGAGCGTAAATGGCAGCAATATGGTCCAATTGCAGGGAACAAGGATCATGTTTGATCAAGTGCCTAGAGTACAGATTTGGGCCTGAGAAGTGAAAGAGAAATACCCGTGGCTCAACAAAGAGAGAGTGGGTTTCGGATGTCTCCTGTGAACCAGTTTGGGGGTCCTATGCCACTAGCGATTGCCGACCTCGAAAAGTCGGTTGGTTCGCCCGTTCGCCCGTGGCTGTCGCGACTGCTCAGCAGCAGATATTGTATGCCAGTCCAAAAGCAAACAAGCAAGCAATGAGCATTGCAGATCAGTCCATGCCATGGCCATGCTGCTTTCACTTTTGTTTGAAATTTAAGACTACCAAGCTTCGAAGCTTGCGCACACCATGGCCATGTCAGGCGGGGCCTGGTTCGAAGTGTGGGCCAACGCCAAGCCAAAAAGCGACTTGAACCCGTCCAGTTTGGGAAAGCGCAAGCGGAGGGAGTCTTGTGTACCATCTTTTCCCAGCCCCCCGCTTTACCGCCGAAGAAGAGTTTCTGGGACGGAACGCGATGCAATCGGTAAGATTCAATCGGCGAGAGGATGGATGTTTGACTGCCAAAGTCATGACAGCTCAACGCGTGGCTCACAGCCGCCAGTCACCCTGTGCCAACGATAGTATGTTTGAACCAATGGTGGTGATTGTCCCATCATGCTGGAGATGTCTGGGGTATCGCAACCATTCTGGGCAAAACATGAGGTCAGCGGGAAAGCAACGAGCTGATGCTGTACTTGGGAATCCAATTCTTGTATCAGGCTTGGCAAAGTTTGCAGATATGATTTAGATCTCTAACCTTTCACTTGTATGTATGACAATAATATATATATATATATATATATATTATGCTATCTGTATGCATGTGTGTGGGTGTGTGGGGTGGGTGGGTGACCATACATACTTTAGAGCCTCCGGCTCAGTCCGCCGACTCCTCTCCCTTTACTCCTTCTTCCTCTCTCTCTTGTCTCCTCCCCAGTGTGTTCCCTCGTCCTCTCTCCCTCCCTCTCCTCCCCATCCTCTCCAGCCTCCCAGTCCTCTCTCTCCTCTCCAAGGCGCAGCTGGTTCGTATGGTCAACAGCGGCTGCGTGGTACTGCCGCGCTCGTTGCTGGCATGGAGCAAGGAGCAGAAGGCGTACGTCCCAAGGGCGTGAGCTAGAGCGATGCCCGCTGCTGCGCTGCAATGTGCTCAGCAACCAACGGCCATGACCTCGTGCGATGGTGGCGGAAGCTGAAAATCCTGAATGGGCGGCAGCTGGACTTCGGCAGCGTGGAAGGCTCGGCGCTGCGACGTAGGTGTGGTTCGACATGGCAGCCTTGCTCAAGAGTACTGGCACACAAGCCGAGCGCTCTGCCCATGCTTGGGGTTTGCGCTCGCTTCACACTGCGAATGCACGAGATTCTGCAGCTCCATGCGCGCTTGACGACGCTTCGATATCACTGGAGCAGATCTGCAAAAGCCAGGACCAGGCAATGGGCAAGGAGGCGCAGGTCAAGTTTTTTCCGTGGCATATCTTCTGCAGCTTTGGATTCAGACCGTGGAGACGCAAAAGCGTCGAGCAAAGATGGACCGTCAGAGCTCCTTGCGCCTTCTTCCAGAAGCTATTCAGTGACGCTTCTGCAACCCACGCACGCAGGGGAGGAGACGGCGGAGGAGAAGGCGGAGAAGGTGAAGGATCGGACGGAGCAGCTGTGCATCGTGGGCCAACGGTTTCACAGAACCGACTTCCAACTAATAGAGGATGAGCTGGGTGATCGAGCCATGCGGCTTCTGGATGTCCATCCCATGTCACATCTACAAAAGCCACCAACACGGCCCTTGGTTTGCGGTCAGACTCGTTTGCCATCCGGCGTTGCTCTCAAGCCGCGCAGGCCGCGCTGCAGCTGCAGTGAGTGTCAAAACAAGCCAGGAGATTGCGCAACGCAAGGTGATTGGACTGTTAGGTGACCGCTCAGCTGCAGGCGGCTCTGGGCCGGGAGATGGAGAAGACTGAGGCGCAGCGCGGGTGTTTGGCTCTCCCTAGATTGGCACATTTGTCTTCAGGACCTGCAGTACCCTTGAGGCTTCGTTTCGTGGCATCGCCCGAAAGTCCAACCCTTCGCAAAAGTGGTGTTGCCACAGGCACGGCTTTGTCAACAAGTGTCGAAGGGTCAAAAGATCCAAGGGTACCGAGGCGCAGGGGTGCCAGGAGCCTTGGGTCAGGTGGTATCCTCCACAACTTGAGGGTTTACGGTCCAACAGGGCTTAAGGATCGTCCGGTTTAGGGTCGTAAATTTCAACAGGAGTATATAGCTCCAGGGCCAAATTTCAGCCCGCGGTCCACGTGTTCGCGCTTCCGACGCACCAAGGTGCAAGGGGTTCAAGAGTAAGCATCAAAACGTCCAAGGGCCCCCGAAAAGTTTGCGCAGCTGTTTTGCGACACCGACTCCCCGAAGACACGTTTAGTGGAACGTCATCAAATTACCGCGTGGTACGTGGGACCCCCTCAAACCCCACGTATCAGATGGGGGGTAAGGGGGGGGGGCTCTATCCTCTCACAAGTATCCGACACGCCGCCCCAAGTCGGCAGATATATATATATATGTGTATACATATAAATCCATAAATATATATATATATGTATACACCTATACTCTGCATTTGCATTACAAGCACATTCTACAGTATGTACATATGTGTATGCGTATGCTGACGGGTGCATTTTGCAGGCACCTCCCATGTTATACCTTTCGTTGTTTGCATGCACCCTGCCAGTCAGTTGCAGGCAGTTCCCAGTGGACTTCTTGACGAAAACAACGCGTTGTTTTCGTCAGCCTTCTGCAGGACTCTTGCTGACTGTGTGTAGAAGTTCCTGTGATGGGTTCATGTGATGACTGCCTTAAGAGCAGCTGATCGCCTGGAAGTTGGTTTGAGTTTGCATTGGTCAAGATCACTGCCAAAAGGGAAAGGAGGCTCCGCATTTACCCAAAGAAAAAAAAGCGCGCCCAAGGAACACTCTGTTTGATGAATCCCACATCACAACATGCGCCCAAGGGAACACTTGTTTGCTGAATCACACATCACAACATGGTAGTAACCACGCCCAAAAGAACCCTCTGTTTGATGAATCCCACATCACAACATGGCAGTAAACACGCCCAAAAAAAACCTCTGTCTGATGAATCCCACATCGCAACATGGTGGTAGCAGTCACGCCCAAGGGAACCCTGTGTTTGATGAATCTCACATCACAACATGGTAGTAAACACGCCCAGGGGAACCCTCTGTTCGATGAATCCCACATCACAACATGGTGGTAAACACGCGCAAGGGAGCCCTTTGTTTGGTGAATCCAACATCACAACATGGCAGTAAACACGTCCAAGGGAACCCTCTGCTAGAGGGTGCTTGGGCTGACTAAAAAGAAGTTTTGCCGAAGGGCAAAAATCCGAGATTGGCGTTTCGCCTGCGCGAAACTGCGCCTGGAAGTGCACCCTCCGGGATATATTGTATATATATATATATACATATACGTGGCTCAAATTCAACTTTACCATGTGCCCCTATTTTTCAGCCACACCCATAATGTCGTTCGTACGGGAAACAGCGTGAACAAAATCCAGTGTGTGTTTTCTTGAGGCAACCAACAGCACCATATCTCTTTTAAGGACCCCTCAATGCTGCTTTTGGTTTTCCTCATGGTTTCCCTTTCAACCCCCCTCCCAAAACGATAAATCACAAAGCAACGGCCCCCTCCCCCTCTCCCTGAGGGCAAACACACACACACACACCCGTATATATATATATATAGAGGGGTGGTTCATGGGTGGAGGGAGGTGTATATATATATATATATGTATATAATATGTGTATACAAACATATATATATATATATATATATGTATGTATGTGTGTGTGTGTCACCCCGTGTTACGACTCCTCGTTTCGCATCGGCAAAAAATCGACTCGAGGACGTCGCCTCGTGACATCCCTGCGCTCCCTTTTGCTGGGCGTGGTGGAGCTGGACATTGGCGGGTTCGCTGAACGGAAAATTGGGGGGGGAAGGGGGGAAGAAAGCGTTTTGGAGGGTTGGCCCAGATAGGCGACCAGGGGTGGTTTGGGGCAGCTTTCAGAGAGGGGGAGGGTGTGGAGGTTTCAATGGGGTGGTGGGGCTCCCTTATTTTCTCCTAGCAAAAGGACAACCATTCTCAGGGTCCCCCTAGTTTGATACAAACCAAGTTACCACTCAGTTACCATTGAGCTGGTTCCCAGCCATACGGTTCCTTAGGAGCTTTTTCTTTTGAGAGTCTAAGTTGGATCTATCACATATCGACGAACCACCCGGTATGGTTGGGAACCAGCCACTGTCGTTTTGGTTGTTTCAGGGCGTTCCTCGACCTAAGCAGGGAAACGGAATGACTTTGTGCGAGACCAAGAGAATCAGGATCAAGTTCTTCAACGTTGCCTTGGGGATGACCCGCTTCGAAATCACGCAAAGGGTGATTTTCCGCAACCTGGGGGGGGGGGGGGAGTCACTGCGTTGACTCGGTTTGATTCCAAGTTGCGGCAGATTTCCATGGTAATAGGTATTGAAGGTATGGAAGATTACACAATATAAGCAACGGACAACATTACCAGGGAATCGGCTTTAGGTAGGCCCCTCTCGATTTTGTAGGCTTGTGGGTATGAGTTTTGTGCAGGCCGCTATCGGTTTCTGGTGGTAATATTGTTGGCTTCTCCGTTTTTGTTAGTTGAAATTTTGGGGCCACTTATTCAACCTCCTTTTGGTGGGGTGACAGGCAAAGCGGGCATATCACTCACTCTCTTTCTCGCGGTCAGATGTGTCATAGACGAGCCCTAGCGTGGAGAGAGATTGTCCCATGATTTACGTTCTTCTCCAGCTGACTGCAACTCTGAATTGGGCAAGGATAAAGAGATGATGATGATGATGATGATGATGATGATGATGATGATGATGATGATGATGATGATGATGATGATGATGATGATGATGATGATGATGATGCTGGTGATGATGATGGTGGTGGTGGTGATGATGATGGTGATGGTGATGGTGATGGTGATGTCCGCCACCGACCTTTCCTACAGTTAACAGCATGTACAGGACGAGAATAGAAGGTGGGTGGGTGGGGATGATAAGATGATGGACGAAGGCAGCCATAGGGATTCTTGCCAGTCACCTATAAGCGCTCCCACACTACACGTCCAAGTCTTTGAGGTCTTACTTTGGATGTGGAAAGGAGGGGAAAAAAACGAGCGAGCTGACCGGCATCTCTTCTCTTGGCTCTATTACATCTTATTCCCTTGAATCGAGAGCGAAGACATGCAAAGATGAGATTATTACCTGTCACGCAAGCGCTCAGATCCGCCGTTCAATGACAGAAGAGATGGAGAAGATGAATGGGTGAATCGCTTGGCAATCAATCGGCTCTTGATTGGTAGTGAGAGAGGTGACAAAGGAAACCGGGCGAAGGAATGGGTTCTTTGTCCATCATCATCCCATCCCATTCTAGCAGACAATGATACTCGTACGAAATGAATGGGATGGTGAGAGGCTGAGTGACCACAGATAGCTCCTTGGGGGAGGCAATCCCAATCGACCCCAACATCACAGTCGGGGAACTCTGAACCACAAAGCGGGTTATTGCTATGCAGGATTGGCTCCATGGATCCCATGGTCTCAAAACAGCAGATCTCCTTTTTGGCACCTGGTTCCAGGGGTTTTAGACAACCTGTTCAATCCAAGAAGGAATGATTTGATATCGCTTGACCAGGCTGTTTGAACTGCGAATGCTCTAGCCTCCGGGTGGTTTGTTTGAGGGTACCATGGTGTGCTGAAGCGAAGCCAAATGGCCATGGGTCAAAATCCCGTGAACATCCCAATCCCCTCTAAAATAGACTAAAATGGGTGGTGCACCTACCCCGAAATGGTACCAAAACGGTTTTGACCCATGGCCAAATGGAAACCGCTTTTGGGAAACCAAACGGAACCCATAATTGGACCCATTGTTTTTTTTCTCCCCAGTGTCTTCCTCTTGCGACCGGAGGCAGCAGTACACAGTGGCGAGGAAAACGTTGCAGAAGAGCCCCAAGCTGAACGAGCTGCTCTTTCAGGCACCCTCTTCAGAAGAGCTCCTCGGATTCTTGGTGGCTCCCAGCCATCCGGTTCCTTAGCTTTTTAGCCTTTTAGTGTTTAGTGGTCGAATCCATGAAACCCACTAAAAGTTGAACTTTTAGCGGGGGATCTGAGGGCAGCCCAGTTTTCTGTGCGGTTTTTTGCGGTTTGAGATCCCCACCCTTCTTGGAGTCGAGGGAGGGTGACCCCAGCGGATCTCCATTTATGGCAACCCATTTTCCCCTTGTGTGGGGAAGACCAGAAAATGGAATTGGGGACCCCCACCTCTCGCCCGTTGAAGGTAGGGTGAAATTTTGGAGGGCACCTGGAAGAAGGCGGCTTTTATATCGAATCCGAAAGGCAAAGCCACGATTATTGGCACAGCCCCATATATCATATGGTTGTAGGTCTTAGTAGACCCTTGGGTGAGCATCATGGTTGGAATTAATGTCAATCAAAGGGAACACCCTACTCAAATTCACAGCCATATCGGCGAATAGGAGTTGAAACGAGGAAGCGAGACAACAAATTGGGTGCCCCTGAAGTCAGGTTTTGGAACTCTTGCGGATTTAACACCTATCTAGGTCAACTTACCTCAAGCCATCGGACTGATCATCCTATAAAATGTCTTGGAGTTTGGCTAGGTTCCCAGCTCCTGTCTTGCAGGTTCCATCATGGGAAGCATCGCAAAGGTACGCCCGCATCCGCTTTTTACGTGCTTAGGGTTGCTCCTTTGCTCGAAGTAGCCTATGACCAAACCACAAGTGTAGAACATTGGTTTTGTTTCCCTTGGTTTCCCTCTGGTTTCTGGGCCGCGTTCGGCCCCGAAACCAGGCTTGGGGGGTCGTCCTTTGTGGAAACACGCGCAGAGATGAGCAGGGTGCAAGACCAGCTTGCACTGCGATATGTTGACGATAAGGGGGTATTCGGGGTAAGGGAAATATGTGGCGGCGTGAAGGCCGCGAACGTGTGCTGCGCAAGTGCAGTGGACGTGGTTGTTCGTGTAAGCTACCCCTGTGCTCGAGTAAGCTCGCGCAAGCACCTGGGCGCAAGAGTTCCCTATGACCAAGAGATGCGTACCAAATGGCACGTCCTTTTGGCTTCGCTTCAACCGCTTCACCCCCCCTAAATGGTCCGGGCTCCCAGGAGAAGCATCTTGGGTGAAGACATGTTTTGGCAGCCGGCCCCAAGGGAAAAACCCCAATTGCTGTTTGAACATCTTTGCCCAGGGGCCCTGAGTCCTGAGGCTTTTCCTCGATCGTGATGGCTCACTGTTCAAGTTTATCCTGGAGTACCTGCAGGCGCGACTTCCGTCCGAACTTCCGAACCCAAAAGAACTTTGGTTTGTTTGCAGGGCAACCAACAAATAATTTGCATCCTTGTTTTCCTATTGGGCACGAAAGCCGAACTCGCATTTTTGGCCAAGCGGCATAAACACATTCAGTCAGGGACACGCGCTATGGCATTCCCCTGCCTAGCGGAAGCGCTCGCTCCCTTGATTCAGGTTGTGGAAATACAGTACCCAGTTCTTCCAGGCAAGCAACTTAGACCAGCTAGCTTTTCCTCTAGGTTTTACATTATGTTCCCTTGTAAGCACTGGGGAAATTAGAATCTGCAGACAGAGTTGAAGGTGCCAATGGTTGAACTTCGGCCTTGGGCTTCACCAAGAACAGAGTACTTCGGGCTTCAAAAGCCGCAAACAGCCCTGGCGTCGATCTGCTGGCCTTGAGGTTTGTTGAGGACACCCTCAATTGGCGGACGCAAATTCCCGTGATGTCCACAGCGAGTCAAAGGAATCTCATACCCACCTCCTTTTGGTTGGCATGTCTGGCGTCTTCTTCCTGCAACAGCAAACCTAAGGAGACCACCCAAAGGGTCCGATCGAGACAATTTGGGGTACAGGGAAACTGGAAACCCTCGTCCTTTGCCCGGCCTTTGGGCCAACACATGTTCAATCTCACTCATGGAAGCTTGTTAGAATTCATTCTCAGTCGTCATGTGGGTGTTTGTTAAAATTCTGGTGTCCCTCTAAAATACTGAAGAGGGGGGTCCTCCATTTTGGGAAACCCACACACAGTGACATGTGGTTTTCCTTCAGAATCCCTTTAAGCCCAGCTCAAACCCAAACAATGCACACACACACACATGTGGTGGATAGACACAAATTTGCAAGTGGTAGCTGGTTTATCCCAGTTATTGGGTTTAATCCATTCTGGTGTGAAGCGGATTATTCCATACGCATGGGTTTGTTTCAAACACGCTCTTTGCAGTCATAGGTGTCCTTCGGTTAGTTTGGCGTTAAAAGTAGATGGGCAAGCCACTGATTCAGATGGGGTCTATGCCATCCATTTACCAAAAAACCCTTAGATTTGTCCAAAAGGCCACCTGCGGATGGACGAAATCCATTTCGCAGCTCCTTGAAACCATGGTTGAAACCACTGTTCGTCGGTATTTACGTTGGGGAATCGAATCAGAAACCAGGGTTTCTTATATAGGTGGTGCGTTTGGATTTCGCAACCATCCACAGGATTCAGGCTGAGCTCTTCCTTGCGAAACCTGAGGCCTCCTAAAAGGCCACCTATCAGTATGTTCAGTAGTGATACATTCCCTTTAAAGTCAACATGTTCAATGGAAAATCCAGGTTCTTGGTGGTTGAAAGGGACACTCATCAGATCCCATCAGTATGAGGATTCGGGTTTTATGTTTCAAGTATTGTTCATGCCATCCATTTGCCCGGCAACCCATCGATTTTACCAATCTAGGGGTACCTTCCCCATTCTTTCCGGGGATCCTTCTTTCCAGGAAATCATCAAGAACCCAGGTTGGAAGCAGCGATGGGTTATTGAAAAGATTCATGGTTGAAAAGAATGGAAGAGGAATCAACCCCTAGAACCAACTGTTTCAAGTATTGGTGGGCTTTGGAGGTTTATGCCATCCATTTCCCAGGGCAAACCCATGGATTTTTCTCCAAACGGCCCACCTTTTTTGCGGTCAGGATGAGTCTCGCTTCCACATGCCCGCGGACCCGTACCTTTGCTTGGCCCTGCGACTGGAGGCGGTGTACTTCGGCGCCTCCGACCGGAAGTGATCGGAAGCGGTCCCACGCAGGCTGAAGCACTGAACCCGAAGCCCGGGCAATCCAGGTGTGCCGTATATTTACCCACATGTTTCCTCGAAATGGGTCAACTGTTGACATATATATGTATATATATATATATAATCATATGTATATATATATATAATCATATGTATATATATATATGCTTAAGAATAATGTTATGTTTCCGTTTGGATTCAATTGGAAGCTATCACTATGGGAAATATGTTCGTTTTCCAGGCGACTGGAGCAAACGGAAGAATCTTTTCAGGAGACAAAAAAACCCATGGGGACACAGCGATGGCTTTTTGAAAGATTGTTGAAGCGAATCGAGAAGCAACCCATTGGGTTTTGTTGTTTTGGTTGCGTTGTTATTGTTGTGCTTGTGGGAGGCAAACACAAGTACCTTTCTTTTTTCCGGTTGCTACGCAGGTGAAGCTAAATAAGCAACATGCTACATGCACGATTGTCCTTTTTGTGCAAGCTGAGCCCATCTTTTAGAACATGTTAAGTTAAGCGTCCCTGAATTGAAGCGATTCCAATGTGAAACCAGCATCCCGCATAGGCAGTTTGTCAAGGTGTATTGTTTTCTATTGGTAGGTGCCTGTGTCTGTTGTCCTTGTTTGGAGTCGTCCTGTTCAGGTGTGTCCGCATGCATGTTTGCAGCCAAGCACATGTGCACACGTTCCAGCGCTTGCGAGTAGAGGCCAACACAAGTGCCCTTTCTTGGGCGATCAAAAGGACACCAATATGAAACCCGGGGATTTGCCCTTTGTCTTAGGGGGCATGGGCCATCTTAGAAGACACAACTTGTGAGTAGTTGTATAGCATCCAGTTGCCAAGAAAGTTTCACCGACCTTTGCAGAGTCAAGGGCCCGATTTCTTCGCTCCAAGACTGGGTTGACCTTTGATACGATCGTGCATCTTTGCCCTATGAGGATTTAGGTCCTATTGTGGATGGACAAATCCTGCACCACGTTGAAACCATGGGAAACCACTGTTTGTCGGCAAAGGGAAATCATCATTCCAGGGTTTCTCATGTGGTGCAAATTGGATTTTGTTCATTCACAGTATGAGGATTCAGTGCCACTGTGGATGGACGAAATCCTGCACCGCCCAAGAATCCCTGGAATGGCGATTGCCCCTGTAAATACCAACAAACTATGGTTTCCCATGGTTGCTTAGGTGGTGCGAAATGGATTTCGCCCATCCACAGTATGTTTTAAGTCTCACGTTTTTCAGGGCTCCTTAAAAGATACATTTTGCCCATTTGAAACATGGCTTTTTCCACCAAAATCAAGGGAAGCCAGCATTGACAAGGCAGTGTTCAGGTGTATAGTGTAAGGATCCCTGATTTTCTTCTTTTGGAAAGCCACTGAGCTCTCGTTGCGTGGGCGTCCGGCGGCGAAACCTGAGGCCTCCCCAGTCTCAAAAGCCGGGCCGAGATGGTCTTGGCTCAGCTCTCCAGGGCCGCCTGGCCGCAGACGGGAGCAAGGGCCCCCAGCAATTGGTGCCCTTTCTCACCCCTTTTTTGGGCCCATGGTTTCCATGGTAGTGCCCGTTTACCATTTATTTTTTGGGCAGGGCTCCCCCTACTAAAATAGACTACAGAAAAAAGTTGGTACACTTATTCTAACCTCTCCACTGGAGGACCTAGTATGAATAGGTGTCCTTTTTAGTTTGCGTAGAAATAGATGGCACTGGTTTAGATTGGTATTATTTCATTTAGCAGGGCCGTCTATTTTCCCAAAAGGACACCTATGGAGCTATATGTTGTTGTTTTTGTTTTTGTACGGAAGACGACGGCTCCTTAAGCCAACAATCATGGGGGACAGCCCTGAAGTTTTGTCCACCAAATTTCCCCCCCTCCAAAGAATGAATACATACACGCGTCCAAGGACAGAGGGTCTTCTCAGAGGTCGACTCCGACAAGAGCACCTGCTTCTGCGGCTTGGTTAGACAGTCTGACGCCTCCATCTCCCAATCTCAGTTCCAGGACTCGATACTTTTTGGAACCAGTTTGACCAGCAACTTTAGACTGCCAAGCCACTGAAGTGAGTAACTTATTTTTGTCAGACTGCCTGAGGTTCCGGAGACCTCGACCATAAGGTGCCTTGGTGGATGCAACCCCGTCAGTATTACAGTCGTGGCCTGATGGATCCTTGGACTGCAGTCAAACGGTTGAGATTCAGTTTGGAGATGTGTTGAACAAAACACGCCCAGAAAGAACACATTGAGATTGTCATTCACTCAGTAAGATGATCGACCTTTTGTAGCTTCGTGCCACTACACCCTTAAATCTACGTACCTAACATACTCTGGATGGACGAACTCCATTTCGCACCACCCCACAAACCCTGGAATTATGATTTCGCTGTAAATATCAACACCGTGGATGTTAGTGAAATCCATTTTGGCCACGCCGTGAAACTATTGTTGAACCCATAATAACGCTTGTTGGCTGGCACCGTTTAAACAGCCGCGAAGTCCTGTCCTGCTGCCGATATGCGCTCTGCCGGATCAAGCACTCTGTCGCCTTTTCCTTGAAGGCTTCCCGATATGCACTACCAACCCCCGGAACAGTTCCCGTTTTGCCTTGCGGCATTCTATTCAGCCCCCCAGATTGCAGACAATCCAGGATCACCACCCATTCTTCCATGCTCGCGGGGCATGGCAGACGATGTGTCAAAATACTTGCAACTTTGGCGTAAAACAACGCATTGCGTGAAACTCTTCCCACACATGCAGCTATGTACCAGGTCTATACGCTTGGAAGAGGGACGATGCAGAGATTCCCATTCTTTGCGTGAATGGCTCAGATGTTGCCACATATAATGTGCCCGTTGGGTTCGTCCAGCCGGAATTCATGTCTTGTACAGATGTAAGAAACTAGAGCAGTATTCCTAAATTCCTGCCCAGCAAAAAGTGGTTAGTTGCAAGACTAAAGTAGTATTCCAAGCAACTGTGCGGCAAGAAGTGGTTGCAAGACTAGAGTAGTAGACCAAAAAGTATCCTCAGCAAGCAAACAATATGCCCAGCAAGAAGTGGTTAATTCGTTGCAAGGCTGTAGTATTCCAAACAAATGCGCAGCAAGAAGCGGTTGCAACACTAGAGTAGTAGTCAAAAAGTCTGCTCAGCAAGCAGTGGTTGCAAGACTAAAGTACTATTCCAAAGTTTCTGCTCAGCAAGATGTGGTTGCTAGACTAAAGTAGTATTCCAAACAAATGTGCAGCAAGCAGTGGTTGCTAAACTAAAGTAGTATTGGGGCCCCCGGGTCCTCTATTGTTTGGGTGTCGCAAATTTTGGTCCACTCCTTTGGCGCGTCCATTACTTAGAAGGGGGCGGGCCCTTTCTGAATCAAGTCCCAACATCAACCACGACAAGACTTGCACAGGCCAAGTCACCGACTCGCGATCCACGCAAAGGGTTCGTCGGCGAGCTTTGAAGTTCGCACGCCGCCACAGCCAGAGCGATCTGACACGTGTGATCCCGCAGAGACTTCGACTGTGACGTAGCAACTCGTACGTGACCACAGGGATAGAGATCCAACACGCACGAGCCTCGCAGCAACGGCGCCACAGCCAAAGCGATCCGACGCGCACGATCCTGCAGGGCTTTCATTGGCGACGTAGAAATGCATGGCGCCACAGCCAGAGCGTTCCGACACGAGCAATCCAGACAGAGGTCTCTCGTCAGCGAGTTTGAAATTCCCAACGAGAGCGATACGAGGGCTCATCCCAGCGGAGGTCATCAGACCCACCCCGGCCAAGAAGCATGATAGAATTTGAAGCTTTAAGCTGCGAGCTGGAGTATGCAGAGCTGGGCTCGGCATAGCAAGCAAGATGCAAGGCTGGCGCAGAGTGGAGCTGAACAAAGCTGAGGCTGCGCAGAGGTGCGCTGCGCAGAGCCGCAGTGCAGAGCTAGGCTGCGCGGATCTGAGCTGGGAAGAGCTTTGCTGGGAAGAGCTTTGCTGGGAAGAGCTTTGCTGGGCAGAGCTGAGCTGTGCAGAGCTGGGCTGTGCAGAGCTGGGCTGCGCAGAGCTGGGCTGCGCAGAGCTGGGCTGCGCAGAGCTGGGCTGTGCAGAGCTGGGCTGCGCAGAGCTGGGCTGCGCAGAGCTGGGCTGCGCAGAGCTGGGCTGTGCAGAGCTGGGCTGCGCAGAGCTGGGCTGCGCAGAGCTGGGCTGCGCAGAGCTGGGCTGCGCAGAGCTGGGCTGCGCAGAGCTGGGCTGTGCAGAGCTGGGCTGCGCAGAGCTGGGCTGCGCAGAGCTGGGTTGCGCAGAGCTGGGCTGTGCAGAGCTGGGCTGGGCTGCGCAGAGCTAGGCAGTGCCTCTACGCTGCGCAGAGCTGAGCAACGCTGAGCTGTGAATGTTAGGCCGCGCCAGCAGGGCAGCCCTTTTTTGCAAAGAGCCCTCTGCCAACGCTGCCGGGACAACCTTGAAGTCGCTTGGTGACGCCTGACTTCTGCGACTTATAAAAAGCGAAGATGTGCGGGAAAAACCCATCCCAGTTGCCTTTTTAATTCTCGCAGCCGAGGAGATGCCTGGCAGAGGCCCAGGCGTTCCAAGGCCGGGCAAACGCTGACGATTTTGCCAGACACCGGCTTAGAGAACCATACCTCCACAACCCACAGCAGTATAGGGTGTGGCTTTTTAATGAGGGGGAACTCTGTTTGTATTTTTACAGGGAAAACAAAAGGTGGGAAGCCCTTGCTTTTGGGGGGTTCGATTCCCTATTTTGAGACAAGAGTGTGGGGAATGTTACCAACCCTGTGCCGCCAATACTCGGGGCAGGGCCCAAATCCGCATACAGCGCGCTTCCTTGTTTGCCTTTTTCAAGCCTCACCTCTTTGCTAAGTTCCTTCAAGAGCCTTTCTTGTGCTTCTGCAATTGCACTCTTCCCCTGTTGGGTCATCAACAGCTCGATTTGGGCTGACGCTAGTTTGGCAGAATATTCATATCGACATTCTTAGCGGGCGTCTGACGTTGACAGAAGGGGTGCGTGTACCTTCTGGTAGGCGCTTGGAGCAACTTGATCAGGTGTTCCACACTCCCCATTTTATGAAGCGCCCATTCATTTAGATGTGCATCGGCCCTAAACTGACACAGCTTCGCTGTCCCTCCTTGCGCCGGATTTGGTTCCAAGAAACGGGTTCCGACCGCTTACGCCAAAGGGCCAGCATGCAATGGGTCGCCCAATTGTTTCTTTTGTTGGGTGTGTGTGTGTGTTAGTGTCAGGTGCCCCTCCAAGGCTCACAACCCCAGGCTGCACAGCTGCTAGGAAATCGCACTTCACAGACTCAGGATTAATTGGCAAATGTTGTTTTCTTAACTGGGATCCCTTTTCCTGGGGTTAGGACGTTGTCAGCTGATGGACTCCTCAGGCAGGGGTGGGATCTTTGTCCTGTGTTGCCAGCTCCTGTGCGATCCCTCTTCCTGTTCCATCCCAAGCTCTCTCTCCTCCCTGCTTGGATGCAAACACACATAAAATCTTGGGAAAATGCTAGGGCTTTTGCTCCCTGCATATTAACAGAGAAGCCAAGAACGGATCAAAAGGAGCTTCATCTAAGCATGATAGTGCTGGGCTTTTCCATGTCAGTCTGCAGGAGAGTATCACAAAGGAATAACATACCACCAACTCTCCACAATCTGCAGGTCTTCCATCGACATCCTTGAGGCAATCAGACTCAAGATTTATTTTCGCCAAATGTCCCCATGTGTCGTTCGGCGGTGTTTCCTGCGCACTCGGCACATGCTGCTGGTTGATAGTTTGCCGGTGAACGTAGATGACACAAATTCCTTTCTTCGGGGGGAGAGGTTTTCAACATGGGGAGGTTGTGCCTGCTTTAGCTAGGTGCCACCATGGACCATGTCTCGCTCTTCGGGGTTTCCCTTCACGCAGCATATGCCGAGAGCGCTTCGTCTTTTTGTTTCTCTGCTAGAACTTCCAGAGCGGCCGAAAGCTCTCACCTTCTGCGTTGCCCCCGTGGGGGGGCGCATCCCAAGCAGCCGCATCACGCGTTCGCTGCCATTTTCTTTCGACCTGGAGTTTTGGTCGCACAATTGTGGACGCGAAGAGAGGAATTTGCCAGAAACAAACTTGGTTTAGCTCTGTCTGTGCATCACCAAGTTTGTTGGTGAAAGGCTATAGAGATATAGCCTGTCCTAGCTAGGCGAAATCTCCTCAATGCTCTCTGGTGTTTGAAGCGTAGCTGTCAGTGTGTTAGTGTGTTGTTTCAATAGAATTACTTTTGATTTGAGGAGGTTTCGGGCGACCCCAATGAGCTACCATCGGATTTGACCACGACGGCCCGGACTTGTCATCGTGTCGTGCGAAGCAAGTCGCGCCAAAGGCGTTCGAACGCGCAGCCTCCCTGTGATGGCCATGTTTCAATTCACGAAGCCAATATGGGGTGCGGCCCCTTGTGGAGGTACCCTTCTTGTGGTAGGTTGTACAGGGAAACCAAAAGGAAAACCAGAGTCCATTTTGGAAGGGTCCCCTAACAAGAAGATACAGCCATTTGCCTCATGACAACCCCGGAAGAGTATCTGAAACGGTTGCCTGGCGGAGCCCCATCTAAGACCAGTCAAGCTCGGAACTGAGAGCATTGGGCTAACTCGAGTTCGGCCAAACTCATGTGGGTCACATGAAAGTTGGGCTAGCTTATGTTTGTTCATTTCCAGAGAGATGGGGAGAAAGGGGATGGGTGGTGTATTTCGTTGACCCCTACTTAGCGTGTTTTAGCAACTCCACAGAACAGTCGCAGCATGTTGGGGAATTTTCATGGGTTGCTCCAAAGTGAGGGGCCATGACAGTGATGACCTGGTTGTGGGGCTTGCAAGAGGTTTGAAAGGTTTCGGCTGGGGAAGGGTTTGAACAGGCGGGTTGGGTGGCTTAGGGCGGGTTTGGTTTTTCGTGTTGCCTGGTGGCTTCACAATTTGCTGCTTGAGGGCAGGTGGGGGGGTACCAATTCGACTGGAACTGATGGGAGGTTGGCTTAGGGTGGTGGAAAAGGGATTTTGGAACGGGTCTAGGGTTGGGGTCGGTTCAGGAGAGTTTTGGGCTGGCTTTGTGTTTAGCTTAAAACTGGTCTAGGTTTGTAAACCAGCTGCTTTAAAGCAGCAATAATCTACTAGCAGGTTTATAGCTGTCAAGTCATTCCTTTGCCCTAAGGAGCCACTGAAGGGCTCCTTCCTTTTCGTTTTCTCGGCTTCTCCCAGCAGACTGGTGGCAGGGAGCGGGCCTGACACACACTGCAATTGGCCAGAAGCACGGGTTGGAGCGGGGGGAAGGAAAGTACGGGAAAAAGCGCACGTGATACTCTATGTTCTTGCTGGTGCTCAGGGGATGTGAAATGGAATGACCCCTGTAAGGAATCCAACTGGTGGTTTCCTTTAAGGGGACCAAAGCCTGGGTTCGTTCCCTCATTCCCCACGTATCGCACCAGTAAGTCGTAATATGGGCGTGGCTCAAATTAAACTGGTGGGGATACGCAGGTTTCAGTCCATGTCTCCACGCGCTTGGGCACCGCTTTTTTGAGCCACAGCCGTATACGATTTATAGGAGTCAAGTGGGCCCCGGGCGAAAAAGCGAGCCCTGCCACAGATCAATGGCGAGAAGGCAACAGCTCGCGACGAAACCCAAGCCGCGGCGCCGGTGCCGCTACGGTTGCGACCGCTTCGCGCAATCGAGAGTGTTCTTTTTCGATGGGCATGTGCTGGGCCAGGATTTTCACTGTTTCTGGTTGTCAAAGTCAGAAACTGGGCTGTTTCCCTGAACATCAAGCACTTACCGGGGACTTTGGCGGTTTTCCTCACGGCGAGCGTCGACATCGCATCGATTCCTCGCCTGGAAAACTGTCCAGGCGGAGGGTCAAAGCCTTGAGGCGACCAACAAATACTCCGCTCGGTATCCTGAACCCGGACACCTCAACCCATACCCAGTTGCCCAGTGGCGCCCTTTGTGTAATTTGTTTTTTAAAGGTTTTGAACTCAACCAACCAAAAAAGCACGTCCTGGTTGTCCCGTGGCCACTGGGCATCTGAGCATATACGTGCTCAGCCTTGGAACATTTCCTGAAATCTGTGGCTCGAGCCACTCATGCGCTTGGCCGCATGTCAGCACTGTACGTGCGACCAAGAGACAAGCTTGAAAGATGCTGAATGCTGATGGGGGCCCGGACCAACCAGGTTTTTTTGGAACCCGCAATGGGCGGTGTTTCTGTTCTCATTGTGCCTTTGACCCAACGCCAAAATGGGCACCCAGGCGCCGAAGTTCTCTGTTTGGGCTGTGGAGCTACACCGGACATCGGCAAGCCAGGTGTAATTTCGGGCCATACCTAGAGTCTCCATGACCCTTTAAAAATGGGGTCAGTACCCTAAATAATGGGGTCATGGACCTATTCTTAAAGGGTCATGGAGACTCCAGGTAAACATGTTGGTCCTTTCCTTTTTGCTTAGCCTTTAAAGGAGGCCCGCAGAGCATCGCAGAGCACAAGAGCACAGCTATACATCTCCATGCGTAAAGTGGGCCCTGCGTACGCGGTTCATATCTTTAGACATACCTGAAAGGGCCCCAGGAAGTAGCATGCGGGAAGTTGAGGTGTTTGTGCAAACTGGGTTCCAAGTTCATCCCTCTTCTTGAGCCAGGGGCCAACATCACCTCAAAGCAAGAAGAGGGCACTCAGAGTAGGGGCAGGTTCAGCTTTGCCAAGGCTTGCACAGATTATTGATTCATTATGTGGTCATGTGTTTTGTAGTGCGCCCCAAGAGCGTGCTGCAAAACTCATTTGGGGTGCCCATCAGAACTGGTACAGCCGCGTCACAACGGCAAGCACCACAGCAACAAGCGCAGGTGGCTTGTCAATTCTGGATGGAGGTCGTGGAAAAGTTGTCGCTGCGGGCGGGCGAAACTACCGCAGATGTCATCGTCCGAATGCTGCTGTTTCCCGTCCTAACAATTTCGGGATGCTCCTGAAACAACCGTGGGTTGCTTCTTTGTCGCTCTTGGGTCGGAGAGCTGGAGTTCGATTGCTTTGTGGGTTCAGGGTACCTTTTTTGGGCCAAAATAGTTGCAACTTGCGCAGCCTTCCTCAAAGTGCTCAACAGGAGAAAGCCTGCCTTGGGCTGGAGTCAGGACGTAGTTTATATGTTATCACATAAATAGAAATTGCATAGCATTCATTGAGAGAAAGGTTTTCGGGATGATTGGTGGACCAAGTTCCCCAAACTCCCTTGAAGTTGCATTTGTGTTGTCCTTTCAAAACCAGCCCAAAAGCGTCCAAAGGATGCCATTCAGAAATGGGGGCAGGCTACCAAATGGAGATCAAGGCAATGGCAGCCGAGGATCAAGGGTCCGATGATAATTGACGCATTGGCAAACAGGTGGTTGCCATTGTCAAAGATGGGCCATCTGCTTTTGGGATAGAGAAGATATTGGAGCAGTGTTTGGACGGCTTACGAATCAGGGAACTACGAACCGGTTTGAACAGGTGTAGCCGGCTTGCATCACATGACGGGAGTACTGTGTCGTGCACCCTGTTGAAACGGGAAACCTCCGATTTCTTCAGCCTTGGAACGACGACCTCCCGTCAACTAATTTGCAGGTCGTTCAACGGAGTCAGAGTTTAGCTCATGGTTCAAAGTCCCCATGGCACCAAAGCACCACAGCCTGGGCGGCTGCATTGGGGGGTTAGTCCTTTTAGCACCCAAATACTTGCTGGTGCGATGGGCAGGGAATGAGCCATGGACTGACCCCGAAAAAGCATACACAACACATCCAGCTGGTGGTTTCCATTTTTTCGGGATTCCCAAAACGGTGAAAATTCCCTTTCTCATGAGAAAGGGAATTTTCACCGTTTTGGGATTCCCGAAAACAAACAAAAAACAGAAACAAAAAACAGGAAACCACCAGCTGGATGTGTATGCTTTTTCGGATCGCAAGCGCAGACCTCCGTTCCGGAGTCCCGGCAGGCGATGAGTGCTTGCTTGGAGTCCTGGCAGGCGAACCTGAAGACCCACGCGCAGGACGGATGCCAAACGCCATGCTAGGCCCCCCCAGCAAGTGGTGCCCTTTTACCGTTTCTTTTTTGGGGGAGGGAACGCCCCAACTAAAACAGACTACAGAAAAAAAGTCGGGTACCAAGGGTAGCCTTATTCTATCCTCTCTACTGGAGGACTAGCATGTCTCACATTCGGATCGACGTACATCTTGGAGTTGGTTAAGAAAACGGTTGACCCCGGATTTAGAAGAAACAGAAACAGTAGTAGAGGGGGTGGGGCCTTAAGTTAAACCCACGGCCATTGAGCCGAACCCCAAACATTGCTTTTGCCTCTTTGTTGGACTTTCGCCGGAATCCTTTGCTTCATTTGCTTAAGCCGCCTGGAAAAAATGAGGATATATTTCCAGTAGGGACATCAACTCCCTTGAAAACCAAGCACAACAGCCCAGGATGGAGCCCGTGAAGCTTGATAGTCATGGCTTTTCTTTTGAACCCTCTTGTGACCCGTTCGTCAACGCAGAAGGCGAAGCGCGAAGCCTTTCTTGGGAAAGACCTGAACCGTTTCTGCTTCAAGCCCAAGCATTCCCCACATCAGCTGATCAATTTACTGGTGGGGATTGAAACGATCTCCACTTCTGGAGGTTCCATCAAGGGGGATGGAGGGAAGCCTGTGTTTGGTTGACCTGCATTTTACCACTGGGTTCTTGGCCCATAACGCTCAAGGAATTCCAGCGGGAGGTTGTTCGCTGCCATAGAACAACTAGAAAATCAAGAATCAAACACGTTGATATATATATATATATAAGTTGCCAAATGTACAGTTGTGCAACGCTGCATTGATTTAGATTCATAAACTAATATTGGTTAATATCGTTAATCATTTGGCACTCTTGTTGAATTACCATCACAATCATTATCACTATCATCACTGTCCCTATCAGGATCAGTACTTTCTAACTGGCTTAGTCTATTTTGTTCTTCAATACATTCAATATGATAATTTGTCGTGATGTGGTCATACGCATCTTTCATCAAAACGGTCTTGCCACATTCGCACTCAACTAACTTAATTAATCTTTGCTGGCGGTATTCCTGAATTTGTTTTGGTATATCATCACCGAGAAACCTTGCAGGCTCTTCATATATATTAGACCATCAATCATGTCAATCATTATAATAAAAACCAATTACTTTATTTCAAAGGCTTTCTCAAATCTAACATACAACATAGTATTAACTTTTTAGGATTCATATTAACAATAGAAGAAGCTATATATAAGGTGCGCCATCTACCGCTTTATGATGCATATTTAGCAGTTGCTCGTTGTCGCCGATGGCGAGTTTTTCTCCATGAACGACATCTACTCCTTTAATTTGAAGATATACAACGAACTTGTATCCAATCCAACGGTATGTGCTACAACACATATTTTGAACACTTAAGCAACAATTCCACCAGCATAGACCCCAAATAGCAATAATTGCACACACTGGTGCTGGTGGTGTTTTGGGATGCGGTTTGGGGAGCTGTTTGAGGTGCTGGTGACGGCGCGGGCGCATTTTGGCGACATTGACGCCCGTGTGCTATCGGGCATGCAGGTAACGGCGCAGGCGCAAGCTGCATCTTGACGGCAGGCTGCAAGGGGGCATGCAGCTTGGGGTGCTGGTGCAGGTGGTGTTTTGGGATGCTGTTTGGGGTGCTGTTTAATTTTTGCTAGATTGACGGCTGGGTGCTTGTGGGGGTGCTGTTTGGGGTGCTCTTCAGGGTGACGGTACCGTCAAGACAACAAAATGCGCGCGCACCGTCAGCCCCCCACAGCAGCACCGACACGAGCACCCCAAACTGCACTCCCCCTAGCACCAGTCCATCAATCTCGCAAATCACTTTCCCCTCTTTAATTTGAAGTTAGAATCCCTATCGCGTTTAGCTATCTGGGGAATGATTCGCATCGTGCCTTCCTCTCGTTGCCAGTCCTTTAAATAACTTATTGTATCTGACGAATTCGGGGTCGTCTGCAAAATCGTGGACAACGATTAAACTTGAATGCAACTCCTTCATCTTCTGTACTTTCATATAGCTGAATATTCTTTCTTTTTTGTGTTAATAATTTCTATTTCTTCGGGTTGGTAGGTGTCATATGTGTTCATCCTCAAGCCTCATTTGGTCTTCTTGGTATGTTTTAACTTCAACCAAGGTAGGGTTGCTATGCACGGACGGGCTAAGCATGAATATACGGGAAAAGCAGTCCCTACGAACATTGAAGATGAGGTTTGGAATTGAAACTGTTTTGCCACCTGTTGATGAAGCAACAAGGATGGAGCGAAAGGGTAGTGTTGGCACATGCTTATATTTAGAGTGTTGAAACTCGTATTCAGCTTTGTTTATGGATTTTAGTATGGAACCAATTGACACAAAGTAGTAAAGATGTTTGCCAGTTATATACAATTAGTAGTAGTGAGTGGAACATATTTTCGTGTTATGCTGCATGGTGAACAACATGAAATGGAACAGGCTTTCCATCGCTCCATCAATAGCATTGAAGACAACTAGTTTGGTGCCCGCTTATGTAGGCAGCGTTATGAACCCCATTGCCTTTCCCGAGTATTCTGAATAATCAGGTTAATTATAAATATGGTTTCGTATAAAATGTCAGGAACATATTTCAACATTGCCAAAAAAAAAGCTGATGGGGATGTAGTGGTTCAAACTAGTGAACATTTGATTAATGTTAGTTTTAACAGAGAAATACATTAATATATGCAAAGAGTAGATTTTGCATCAACACAAGTTCATCAATATAAATACATATCCTAATCATTCACTAAAAGCAAAGAAGGGGCTTTGACAACCCTTCAACCCGGTAAGCTTTATTACCTCTTCAGATGATATTTAATTTGTCAACATTGAACATGTTATTACTATTTGTTTTTGTCGGTGCATTTGTCCCCTTTCTTTTGGACACTTTCACCTTATCGTTCACTTCTATTCTGGGATACCTTCTTTTGTTTTTTCTTTCAGTTTGAGATGGAACCCTTACATTGACCTCGTTGTCGTCCTCAGTTGGTGTCATCCTTGTCGATGAGTGGACCGTGCTGTTGTACTGCTTCGGCGCTGGTGTTAGGCGTCGCTCCATTTCATGTTGTTACACCTAACTCTATCATTAGCTTTGTTTTTCATGGTTCTGACGAAACGCTCCGCCACGTTTGCGCGTGTCTTCGTGATGACGGGGTTCATGCCCTCGCAGTTGAAGAAATCCTGAACTTGGTTCTTAGTGGCACACGCGCCATCGTTATTTGTATGGCAACTTATTGGGCAACCCCATCTTTTTAAAACTTGTTCTCAACGCTTTCAATACTGCTCAATAGAGTCTCTTTCCTCCATCCGTATTGCATCTGCTAATTTGCTGAAGATGTCAATGACGACTAAGGCATACTGTGGAACGTGCTTGTCATGTGCATCATGTCTATTTGATATTCATACCGGCGCTGTGTAGGAATTAGTGCCCCTATAGCTTGATTTGTTTATTGGGTTGTTTCTTGAGAAAAGACTTTATAACTTCTATGGTTATTGTTGGGTCTTTTCCTGTGCCTTCTTGTGTCGCTTGTACGCTTCCGAAACACTCGTCTAAGTCACAATAGGTGTTGTTGACTATTTGGTCCTTCGTTAATATTGCCATTATAGTAAATTGTTAGAAATTTGAACTTATCAATGTAAACCCGAACCACTAAAGAACTGCTCAACGAAATCATGATTTAAACATATTAAGAGAACATGGCACGTTTTAATGATGATAATGGTCCTTGTACGAATTTAAGACTTAAATCAAAATCAGTTGTTGCACTAGCACATATTTTACCTGTGACCATGTGTAATAGTATTGGTGGTTATTTTGACATGAGTTGTGTCAAATGTCATTGTTTGAAGGTACAGTTTTAGAGAGTTGTGTTAGAATTGAACCATTACACAATTTCAATGAAAGTGCGACATTCTTTCCAACCCTAAACAGTTGGTCGAGTTATAGAAATATCAATGTCCACCCAAAGGTCCACCTCTAGCAAAACGATGAAACAGCTCCCCAAAACACCTCTTTTTAAAACGAAGAAGGGGATCAGGATTGAAGCTAACACAAACACCATAGCAGTCAACCATCAACATCAAGAGTCCAATGTTTGAACCCCTGGATAAACCCCAGGACCTGGTCTCATAGTTATAGGTCAAAATTAAAAGGGCGCTAAATATGGGTTAAAATTTGGCGGTCGGTGGAAAGCACTTGGCAAGCGAACCGGTTTGCCCTTTGACAGCGTTGACTGCCACGCAAGTGTGGCTCGATGGAGGCGGTTTGGCATCCGGTCAGGGAAAACTGGCCACTCAGTCATGTGTACATCATTAGCGCTAGCGGGGAACTGCGTTTGGCCTGGCACATGGTGGGATTCGGCGTTTGGCAAATGTCTTCAAGGTTTTCGGCGTCAATCTGGGCTGTAAAACTGGGGTTCATACAGGAAACTGGCCACAAATTGTGCCCGAAAACCCCTATGAACCCCAAACATCTGTGGCCGAAATCCCCTATGAACCCCAAAATCTGTGGCCGAAAACCCCTATGAACCTCAGCCTGGTGGTTATCTGTGGCTTAAAACCCTATAAACCCAGCTTGTGGTTTGAGGACCGCGCGCCCCTTCAAAAGTTACTGTGACTTCGCCATTTTTGCAACATCTGAAGGTGCCCGTTCTGACTGGAAGCAAGCTCCAGCGATTGATTATCAATCCCAGCGGGCAGAACCACCGGGGGCGATCCGCATTGCAGGAATTGAACCTTGAGGGGGACTCTTGCGATGACAAATGGGAGCTTCGGAATCAATCAAATCATGTATTTCTTTGTATTTTCAGGGGTCCTTACAAAATGGCCTTTGGAGACAGAAATCAGCGAAATCAAAGGTAAGCCTCAACCAGGCCTTAATTAAGGCCTTGGTAACGATGAACATTCCTGGGTTTTACCCAGGGGTTCAAACATAGTCCTTTTGACAACAGCGCTCCCCCACAGCTTCACCCCAACCGCAAGGTTGGGCTGGGGCCCAAAAACAAAAGAGCTCAGCGTGGATGCGTTCAGTATTTTCAAGCCTCAACTTTTGGTTCTTGTTTTTTGTTGTTGTTGCACATCGAGCTCATGGTGTTTAGCTAAGCTTCCACTGCACGAGCCACGGTTTTTTCTTCCGCGGAAAATTCGGGGGGCTGTGAGGAGATCCGCTCCTCCATCCCCGCCCTGGAGGCTGGAAGGATGGTTCTTGTGGCGGTTGTTGGGGGTAGTTTTGGGGTGGGTTTAGGGTGAGGTGGGTTGAAGGTGGGTGTAGGGTTTGTTTAGCGTGGGCTTGAGGTAGTTTTGGGGTGGGTTTTGGGCAGGTGTAAGGTGGGTCGGGGCAGGTGTAGGGTCGGTGGTTTTGTGTTGAGGGTATAGGGGAGGTTTAAGGGTGCTTGCTTGCTGACTTGCTTCTTTGGTTGGCTGGCTGGCTTGCTTGCTTGCTGGATTGCTTGTTGCTGGCTGGCGTGCTGGCTTGCTTGCTGGCTGGTTGGCTGGCTGGCATGCTGGCTTGTTTGCTTGATTGTTTGTTTGTTTGTTTGTTGCTTGAATTGTTTTGTCCCAGGGGAGGTGTCAACATCAGAAGCAAACAGGACAACCGCCCGATGTTAGGTGATTCCGCTGCTGTTGATGGTAGAAATAGAATGCACATATGTAAATCCTCGGTTTGTGGTTGAGCTTCAGCCCTCAGAGACATCCCTTGACCTTGTGCAGGTTTAGGACCATAGGTCCAATTGGCCACCAGGCAAAACAAATGCTGTGAGCCTCCGTATTCATCAATGGCAGTTGTGAAATCAGGGTGGGTCAAAATTTAACCACCAGGATATGGACCACAGGTTTTGGTCAATGTTGGCACTTACCAGGGCAAGCCATTTTGGGGTTGCCCTATTGTTGACAGCCAAATGGCCATGGGTCAAAATCCAAATCGTCACCTACCAACCAAAATGGGATCCCATTGGTTTTGACCCACGGCCAAATCAGGGTGGGTCTTTTGTCCCGGCTTTGGGGGCACGTTTGTCATACCTCCAGAAGGAAGCCTCGGCTTATCGGAAAACCCCCGATCAGGAGGTCTGATTTCACGTGCCAAATCGGGCGTGTGCCTTCGCTCCACCTGACAGAGTCGCTTGCCAATTGGGGATCCCTTCGTTGCTTGGGCCGTTTCGGGATTTGTTTCCTCAAACAACAGCAACACCTAAAACACTTCCATGTTTCAAAAAATAAACATCCTGCAGCTTCATTTGAGCAAAAAAAAGTGCGCACAACGGAACAGTGCGCGTTTCAATCAAAAAACGCGCAAAGTTCCAAGAACTGCGCGAGGCGTTTTTGGCTGGTTTGAAAAAGGTGCGGGGTGTGTATAGCCTGGACATGAACCTGTCAAGCTGTTCAAAAACAACTATAGGCAAGGATACATGCGCCTAATCGGCCAGAACTTAGATGATCCAAAGAACCAGAGTGCATTTTGGCTATTTACCAACGGAGCGGTTGTCGGGAATAGCCTTCAACATTGCCAAGCCAGCTTGACAGTCAAGTGAAACAAGTTTCAACTCCTTGGAATTGCAAGAAATTCGAACGGCTCTTGCAAGTGGCGCAGCTTCAAGCGACGACCACATGTGGCTCAAAACCGATCTGTTGGTTGGCAATTCGGGCGCTTTAGACATCTGCTGCCTAATTAAAAGGTCAAAAAACGCACGCATACATGCGCACACTTTTCGAATTTGCGCGCAATTGCGGATATTTGCGCGATAGTACCGGATTTTTGCGCGCAAATTGCGGGCTGGCAAGGCGCCGAAAATCGACTAATTTCACCTATCAGCGACTTGTCTCAACAAAAATGTGGCGCAAGCACAGTTCTGGAGCAAACAGCGGATCCGTGCAAACCCAGGCAATACTTGCGGGCTGGGAGCTCTTGACGGAGCCAAGCGGGTTGCTAAATCAATGGCCTCAAAGTGTCAAGTGCAAGTGATATATAGTTGGTACTTGTGCCGGGTGTGCCACAAATTTCCTGCCTAAAACAGGCTTGGGTGGAGACAAAGAAGAGCTAGATATGTTGTAAACATCAAGGACTTCAACAAACAGCTGCGCCGGCACGGGCACGAGCAGCGCGGTATCGGTTATTTACACAAGCAGTGCCGAATTTGGCTACCAGAGGAGTTTCATCCGAAAAGTGCGCAAATCTCTCAAAAGTGCGCAAATTCCAAAAAAGCGCGCAAAAGCACCACAAAACGCGCAAACAAGCATTTGAGCAGAAAAAAAGTGCGCAAACGAAGATTCAGGATCAAGAAAACCAAAAACGAGCCTTTAAACAACCCCCATGTTTTCTCTTACCTACCCGCCCCGGCTTTTCCCGTGGGATCCATCGTCCAAGCACTCCGTGCGAAAAAAGGCGGCCAAGAAGGCGGCGGAGGAGGCCCTGGCGGAGGCCAAGGCGAAGTTCGAAGAGGCACGTGAGGGGAGTAGCGTGCATGGACAGAATGCTCCACTTTGAAGCCATGGTTGGAGAATCGAATCATTGAACTATCGTTGGTACTGTGCAGTTGAATTCCATATTGTATATACTGTGGATAGTTGCGAAATCACGTTCGCAGAAACGAAATGACTCACACCATGGTTCAAGCCATTGTTCCCATGGTTGAAACCAAGTTGTTCCTTGGTATTTGGATGGACCAAATCTAGGTCCCCCAGTAGTGCCCTTGCTCACCCCTTTTTTGGTTGGGAGGGTTCCCCTACCAAAAATCGGGTATCCTGATTCTACCCTCTCTACTGGCTGGAGGACCCAGGAATCCTCCACTTTGAGGCCCGAATGAAGCAATACTGTGGATGGTGGCGAATACTACATACCAACTCTATATCCAGTTTGAAGCCCATACTACATACTGTGGACGGTTGCGAAAATCCCGTTCGCAGAAACGAAATGACGTGGTTCAAAACCGTTATGGTACCATTTTGGGATAGGTGCACCACCCATTTTAGTCCATTTTAGTGTGGATTGGGATGGTCACGGGGGGTACGGGGCTTTGACCCCTGGCCAAATGACACCGTGGTTGAGGCCATTAGTTCCCATGGTTGAAACCAAGTTGTTCGTTGGTATTTGCGTGGGGAATCGAATCATGCCGTGGGTTTCTCCAGTTGGTTCTGGACAGAGTCCTCCAGTTGAAGCGCGAAGAAAACAATACTGTGGATGGTGGTGGCGAAGACTACATACTGCCAGGCGAATAGTACAACCTAACTCTATATCCAGTTTGAACCCCATGCTACATACTGTGGATAGATTTTTAAATTCCATTACGCACCACGAAATGAAACCATGGGAAGCAAAGTTGTTCGTTGGTATTTACGTTGGGGAAACAAATCATTCCATGGGCTTCGCAGGTGGTGCAGGATTAGCCCTGGAGATCCGGTGCCCCCCACAAATGCCAAACACTGGTTTCAGTCCCATAGTTTCTCAGGTGGTGCGAAATGGATTTCGCAACCATCCACAGTATGAACCACTGGCCACAAAAGAAACAACAAAACTTGGGGAGGGCACCAACTATCTATTCTATACGCTCATGAAATGAATAAACAACCTGTTTTTCCACGTCAAAACACGCGTTTTTCCACATACAAAATTCTGTTTTTCCACGTCAAAACACGTGTTTTTCCACATGCAAAATGCTGTTTTTCCACGTCAAAACACGCGTTTTTCCACACACAACATGCTGTTTTTCCACGTCAAAAACACGCCTTTTTCCACATACAAAATGCTGTTTTTCCACGTCAAAACACGCGTTTTTCCACACACAACACGCTGTTTTTCCACGTCAAAAACACGCGTTTTTCCACACACAACATGCTGTTTTTCCACGTCAAAAACACGCCTTTTTCCACACACAACACGCTGTTTTTCCACGTCAAAAACACGCGTTTTTCCACACACAACATGCTGTTTTTCCACGTCAAAAACACGCCTTTTTCCACACACAACACGCTGTTTTTCCACGTCAAAAACACGCGTTTTTCCACACACAACATGCTGTTTTTCCACGTCAAAAACACGCCTTTTTCCACACACAACACGCTGTTTTTCCACGTCAAAAACACGCGTTTTTCCACACACAACATGCTGTTTTTCCACGTCAAAAACACGCCTTTTTCCACATACAAAATGCTGTTTTTCCACGTCAAAAACACGCGTTTTTCCACATACACAAAAGGCTGTTTGTCCACGTCAAAACACGCGTGCTTTCCACATAAAAAATGCTGCTTTTGCACGCCGAAACATGTGTTTTTCCCACATGTAAAGTAGTTAACTTTAGTCAACTGAGCTATACTTCTAGGGCCATGATTCCGAGATTCCCCATTCTCGTCACCCATCGCGCCGTTAGAAACCACCCATCGTCCCATGGTTCCGGCCCATTTTTGGAAGCTACTTGAAGAACCATTTTTGATGTTCTAGAAAATAGCCAGGTTCTTTACGTGAAAATTTGTTTTTTGGAAAGCGTTTGTGCAACTGTACGACTGTACGGGTTTTGTGTGGGATTTTTACGGGATTTGTATAGTCTTTGCATGGGTGGTCAAAAGGACAACCAGGCTTTCTGTTGGAAAACCGGGTTCGCATTTCTCGGTTTGCAACAGGCTCGAAACCAGGTTGTTCGTTTGCGCAGTTTTTTTAAAGTTTCTTGGAGTAGTAGAGGGTAGAATATCAACTGCTTTTCCCTCCCTGTCGTTCGGCCTTCATCCGGGAGATTGACGCGACGCAATATAACAACTGGCCAGCATAGGGCCTGGCAGCAAGTTTGTCCAGTTCGACGGCCGCATTCCGCACGGCGCGATGCCTTACAGTGGCGGGCCTCGGGTATCCCATTTGCTCTTCGCTCGCGGGAGCCTGGACCATAGCCCGGAGCCGATCAAGCTTGGGCTTCAGAACCCAATTTTCCTCGCAGCCGAGTCATATATAGTGACATGTCACATGTCCTTACTAACATTGAGCCTCATTAGTTTGGTCTTCCGGGCTCATCCGAGGTTGTTGATGCCCTGACGCATGTGGGTTGGCAGTACTGGAAATTCGGTGATTTCATTTTGAAACTCAAATCCGATGGACCATGCTAATAAGAGGACCCCCCACGATATATTGACATGTCACCATGGTCAAAAAGGGAGCCACCCCCCGTTAGTCCGGAGAAGGATTGTAGGACCTAGTGACCCAGCACTCAGTGCCTGCGATCACGCAAGCTCCCCCCAACCAACATCTAAGATGTTGTTTGTTTTTGACAGGTAACCTTAAGGAAACAAAACACAATATCTGGGGCCCTTTAAGAACGACAGACTCATTCCAACTACAGGTTTACTGCAATGAGGGCCCCTTAGTTATAACTTGGTTACAAATAGGGGCAAGTTCGGTTACAACATGGGCAAGCATGAGTAATAAGTAGGGTTAAATCGTGTTAACTTGTGTTATACTTATAAACTGCTTATAAGCTAGTTGTGCGAGAAATGGAAGAAAGCAACGACTTATTACTTCGTATGGAGAAAAAAGTTGGTTGGAACTTACAGAACTTCTGAAAATGGTATGAAATTTAAGTCTTTTTTGAGTGTAGAGTGACGGGTGGTATGTATTGGATCCTTTTGTTTCTTTGGGCCGTCATCTGAGCTAAAGAAGGGAAGCAGCTCACGCAAGCTTGATTTTGGCATGGAGACTGTGCGGCAGCCGAGGCGAATTGCTTTATTTTTATGTGCGAGCTTGAATATAGCCATACAGCCATTGCGAACGCAACGTGGAAAATAATCACGCATATTTTCTTGCAATCGCTTGAAAGTTTTTGGCTGCAGCAGCTCATGCACATTCATTTAGTTTTGAGTATATCGAATTGGTCTATGTATGGGTCCGCAGCATTGGCGGTTTCTTTGCACAGTTTCAGTAGACGGGCTATCGCATTAATCATGTGTGGACGTTTTTGACGTTATAGGCGTTCTTTAGTATAGGGCGCGGGCTACAGAGGCGGTGGTTTGCTGGGCAAGGCGGTCTCAGGCTATTGTTCTGTGCGGTGGTCTGCCAGGTTCGACTGGCTGCGTGGCTTGGTCGTCCAATGAGGGGTCAGTTGACGTGGGAACTGCGGTGCGGGGCTGCTTTTCTCTGGGAAGCAGACGCGCGTGTCTGTGGAAGCAGACGCGTGTGTGTCTGGAGGCAGACGCGCGTGTGTCTGACGCGCGTGCGCCTGGACGCAGACGCGCGTGTGTCTGAACGAAGCCTCGTGTGTGTCTGTTTGTGTCTGTTTGTGTCTCGGTGTCAGTGTGTCTGTCTGTCGGTCCACCTGTCTGCGTGTCCGTCGGTCGGTCGGTCGGTCGGCCGGCCGGCCGGTCGGTCTGTTTGTCTGTCTGTCTGTCTGTCTGTCTGCGTGTCCCTCGGTCTGTCTGTTAGGCTGTCTGTGTGTCTGTGCGTCGGTCGGTTTGTGCTGCAAGCTCTGCGAAGAAGAATCTGCCTTGGTCCAGTACTTCCTGCAAGATGAAGCCCGCACGTTGGTCCCACTTGCAAGACATTTTCAGCCCTCAAACAAGCAGAGAGCAGATTTGGCAACTTGGTGGCAAAAAGATGAAGAAGGCATCATCTTGGCCCTGCTGCAATCACATAAGGAAGCACGCTGGAAAAAAGTGATACTACGTGTTTCTGCTTCAAACGAAGATACTCGGCGGCGTTTGTGCCAACACTGCGGTGGCCCGCTGCAATGCAATTAGGCGGTAAACCACTACATTTGCGCGATGAAGCCACTCTTTCTTGCTTGCCGGGCCTCTGGCGCAATTTCGAGCTTTCCATCATTTTCGGGAAGCTGGGCATGCCAAAATACGCCGAAAACAAGCTACGGAAGATATAACTTGCGCAACTTAGTTATAACTCTCCATTCTCTATCTTCCATAACTAAGTTATTGAGTTACAACTGGCTTAACATGCGTAACTGCAGATACAAGTAAGCTAACTGCAGGGGCCCTCAGTGTGTATACTGAGGCTTCTGCTTGGAGGTTTCTAAGAGGGCGTCAGTGGCATCAGCCAACATGAATCTGGCGCGGTCAGTTTCAGGGGTTGGGGGCGGGGGAGCTGACCCAGGGTTTGTCTGGCACGGCTGCAAGAATCATGTTGAGGGGGCACGACGCAAAGGGCCCGAAAACTGTTACTGTTTAATTGTTCTGTTTAATCAGTTTAATCATTTAATAATTCAACTAGTTTAAATGACATCCTTTCCCAAGTTTCAAACGGGACGCGTCCCATTTGAGCCTTCCATCCTTTCCCAAGTTTCACACGGGACGCGTACCATTTGAGCTTTCCATCCTTTCCCAATTTTCAAACGGGACGCGTCTTTTGAGCTTTCCATCCTTTCCCAAGCTTCAAACGGGACGCGTCCCATTTGAGCTTTCCATCCAGTGGGCCAAGCAAGCCCTGCCTGTGGCGCGTCGTGCATTGAAGCGTGC